TGTCATTTACTAATTAGTGATGGCGGAGTTTAATGGAGCAAAATGCAGATGTGACCATGCTGAGCCAAACAAAGTATAACTGCGATCTATACATTTTAAAAATGGGAAGAAAAGAAAAAAAAAATGAGCATCAACAAGAAGTGTTGTAAATAGAGAAGAATCACATTGTGATAATGATTTAGCGTCACCCAAAGACAGTAAAAACCGTGGAAAAGAAAAGACCACAAGAGTTCCCTAAGGTTGTAATACCCATATTTATCTAAAGAAGGCAAGCCCCTGCGAGGATCGCTTTTGACTAATGCTGGATCTAAAGTAATTTTTTCTTTTCATCATTTTCCATCTTGGGATAGGCTTCCTACAAGTGCGATGGTTATTGAAAATGTAAAAGAATAGCAATAAAGTTTAGATACAATTCTAATAAATTATTTTTAAAATAATTATTACAGTATATTTGCATGTAATATCTTGAATCTGGAAGGTAAAATTCAGAGGTAAAATTTGATATCATTAAGTGAATTAATGCTTGAAAAGTCGTTATGTATATTCCAATTAATAGGAAATGAAACCATTCTGATTTTACAAAATTAGTCGCCAGCGTGGGGATTTGGGCATTCGTTCCAATTAAACCCATTCTGGCCGACTTTGATTACAAATATACATTTGTAACAATATACGTAATACAACGCAGTTATTACTAAATTAACGAATGTTTGGCGCAACCGGAACAAATATGCCCATTGCGTCAATAAAATCAACCAACTAACTATAAGCAGGATTAAACTTACAATCGCCTAAGTTTGTTAAAACTATATTTCCTTATCAGCATTTTGGAAACCGGAAATACTTATATTATTCAATTATTATAATTAGTTTAAATGACTTGACATTTCACAAAGAGTAAACATTTTTATTAATTCCTATAAATTAGTTTGATTTGTATAGCATTTGTGTGTTGTATTTCTCAAAAAATTCGCATCACATGAAATTAAAATGTAAATCCATTACAACACACACACAATGTCTGTGTAAGTAAGTATGTGTATTAAAATTTAGAATTATTTTGAATTCAATGACATACTTTTTAGAATTCATAAATAAACAAGTTAATCCAAAGTTAAAATTATAAAAAAAGGTAAAATCACAACTGCGAACATTAAGAAAAAAAAAGACATGAACCGAACCAAAAATATAAAGACAAAAATTGGAATCTGAAAAGTGAATGACAATGAAATATACATATTTAACTAAAAAAGGAAAATTATAAATTTAAAAAGAAAATAAATTAAATTAAATTGACAAAACTAGAAATATCAAAAAAGATATACAAATTGAAAAATTTGAGGAACAAAAAAATTTAAAGGGGGAAAAAAAGCAGAAAACAGGAAAATGATATTTAAAATTGTAACTGGCACTAGATTGGAAAGCTGGGTTATTCTAGAATTCGTGACAAAACTATCCCCACCAACAAAATAAATTTTTTAATATATATAGATAAATTTTTTCTTCTGAAATCTCTCTCTTTATATATATATATATATATATATATATATATATATATATATATATATATAAATAATCATAATTTTAACATATGAGTAAGAAATTTAATTAAATTTGGATTTTTTTTTGAAATTACAGGATATACTAAAAAATATTTTCTTAAAGTTTCTTTCCTTCATACGATGATATATCTACGGTTTAGGCCATAATTATATTTGCCGACAAACCATGCCAGGTTTAAAAGCAGAATTAATAATATCAAAGGAATACGATAATAAAGGAAATAAGAGTAGATGATATTATTATACATGTTGGTTAAATATTCAGATATGATTATGTTAAAAATTAAAACCAAATTAATTCCAAAGTTGAATTTGCGTTAATATATACAGACGTCAAAATATATACTCAACATGCATGAAGTCCACGGTTGACTAGGGGTCAAGGTTTCGGTTTCGTGGCCGGTGGTTTTCGTTCAGTCCCGGGTTCGATACTTGGCCACCAAAGACCCGCCGTGTAGCCGGGGCTGATGCACGTTAAATCCGCGGGACCCAAAGTCCTCCCGTTGATGTGGTATGGATGTTAGGAGAAGGGGGGGGGTGCCAGCTCAGGTGTCTTCCTCGTCACTTGACCGTGGTTCAAAATAACGAGGTCCGTCACCAATAGCCCTCGTGTTGCTTCTAGTGCGACGCTAATAAAACCCAAACGAAAAACTAATGAAGTTTAAAATGTTTCTTTTTATTTTTGAAAAAAGTGTGTCAAACATTTCTTAATTTCAGTTGAGTCTTTTATATTTCAATAAATATACATTAATAATTTTTAAATAGTGAATAATAGCAATTTCTTCGTTAATACCCATCGCTAAAAAAAAAAAAAAAAAAAAAAAAAAAAACCTATTCGATAACCGTAATATTATTAAATATTTCTGACTCTTTGCCAAAAATAGCATTGAAATTTTCTAACTTAAAATATGTTGTAATTTGACAAGGTTAATTTGTACTTCTTTCCTGCATTTTGTTGAATATTAATGAATTAAGATGCGAAAAAACAAAGAAACTCGAATCTGTAAGGGAAATCAAACAATGATGTTACTGATATTATGTTCAAATGCACAGAATAGCTATCCGTTGTGTAATTAAAAAAGTTTAAATCGGGCGGATATAATTTCCATACTAAGTCTGCCTGTGGAAACACTTATGCTGTCATGAATAGCAAGCCGGCTAGATTACAATTTACTAGAATTCATGTTAGCAAAGATCTAGTATTCTTGATAGATGTTATTTTTGATCCCATGTTAGAGTTTTGATACATAGAAAGCCAAATACGGAGCTTGTGAGATCTCGTATGCCGTCTACTGCCCCCCCGTGGGGGGGGCGAGAGGGATGCAATTTGATGTATGGGAGTTTCAGGAATAGGAAATACAAGACACAATGACCCAGTATTCGTATATCGATACTCTGAAAGTAAACTTGAATCAAAGTGCAGAAAAGTTGGGTCTAATACAAACTTATAAATTTTAATAATGATCCAAAACATGTGGTCCTGTATACTAGACTCTGGTAGATGTACAACTCTCGAAAATTTATTAAAACTACTACTCGGTCTCCGGATTTATATCCGATAGAATACTTTTGGAGTCATTTGAAAAAAAAAAATTGCGTTTACGTTAGTTGTTTTTTTTTTAAATAGAGATACAAGTCGTGTTAATTAAAGAATGGCACGAAGGTTTAATTTTAGGTTTAATTAACGTCGCACTAGAAGCAACACGAAGACTATTGGCGACAGACCTCGTAATTTTGCACCACGGTCGAGTGACGAGGACGACACCTGAGCTGGGAGCCCCTCTCCTAACATCCACACCACACCAACGGGAAAGAATGGCAAGAAATCGACCATTATTTCATATTGGACTGAGTTATAGAGAAATTTAATAACGCAAGAGCCAGATACGACTATGCTGCTCAAAATAAGGTAGATCTGTGATCCAGACGCATAAAAATTGAAAAAAAAAAAAAAAAGATAGAAATTGATTGACAAGAAGAAAGAGGGTCGAAAATAGAGAAGGATTGCTAAGATATCCCGGGCGCACGTCACCCGTGTTTACCAAAGAATAAATACAAGAGAAAGAAAAAGATCCATAAGGTGCCTCGGGGTCATGATACCCCGAACCTACCGAAAGAAGGAGACCCCCTGAGGTCCGCTTATATAATCCGCAGTGGCAAAGGGCCCGGCTTTATCCCCACACATTGAGTACCCATTTCAGTCGCCTCTTATGACATGCAAGAGCTACACTGGGACTATTCTTTCACACCCTCTTTTCATATTGGAGTTAGTCAAATTGATGCCAAATGGCTTAAAAAGTGTGATTCGGCCTGAGTGATTGATTTGTTTATTAACAATGCGCGAAGAAGCAACACGAGGGTTACTGGCAACGGGCTACTCGTAATTTTGAACCTCGATCAGTTGACGAGAAAGACATCTGGGTCTGGTACCTCCCTCTCCGAACCCAAACAGCATTCTAAGGGAGATTTCAGGGCCTTTACAGATTTGACGTGCATCGACCCCGATACATGGTTGATCTTTACTGATACCATGACTCTAACCCACGATTCGATAGAAACAACACCAGCCATCATTCGCAACTGTGATCACTGAGCTACCTCGCCCGATTAGCTGCAACAGATAAGTTGCAAGGTCATTAACTAAAGGTAACACATAAAATGAAACAAAATACCTTTAAAGTTATTTATCGAATACTTTCTGTTTTATTATTGCGGGTGTTAATGGATCGGTTATAATTTTTGTTGTTATTTAAAATTGTAGTTAATTGACTATAGTATAAAAAAATGTGAATTTGTGAGCTGAAATGTATTTATTATTGTGCATTTTACGAACGAAAAAATAAATAATTACATGCATTTCGAATATGTATTATGTCAAAATCTAATTCTAAACGTGAATAAATATTTTCTACTCTCTCGTGATAATTTAATACCATTATAAAGCAATTATATTTATTACAAAAATATTTTCGATAGCTAAATATAAAACGTGTTTGTTTCAAATAATCTCTTCAATTCGAATTGAATTACCTTCGAGTTGTGGGTTCGATCCTTACAAATACAATTTTTTGCATATTTTGGGTATTTCATATCCTATTTGCTCTCTTATTGGATTATTTTGAACATATCAGACTTAATACAACGCGTAGCAGCGGTAGCCTAGTGGTCGTGGTATCGTGGCCGGCGGTTTTTGTCGAGGGTTCGATCCTTGATGCCACGAAAGATCTGCCGTGTAGCCGGGGCTGGTGCAACTTGAATCTGTCGAGGCTCTAAGTCCTCTTTTGAAGTTAGGAGATAGAGCTGTCAGCTCAGGTGTCGTAACCGTCACTTGACCAAGGTTCAAATTTACGGGGTCTGTCGCCAGAACCCTCGTGTTGCTTCTCAGTTCCATGTAATAAAATTATCAATCAATCAATTAACCTCGGTTAAGTGACGGTGGCCGTGGTATCCTAGTGGTAATGGCAGCGAACTCGGAGCCGGAGCTTTTCGTTGAGTCCAAGGTTCGAGCCTTGATGCCACGAAAGATCCGCCGTGTAGTCGGGGCTGGTGCACGTTAAATATGTCGAGACTCAAAGTTCTCCCGTTGGCGTGGTGTGTGAGTTAGAAGAAGGGGTGCCAGCTCAAGTATCGTCCTCGTCACTTGACTGAGGTTCAAAATTACGAGGTCCGTCACCAACAGCCCTCGTGTTGCTTCTAGTGCAACGTTAATAAAACAAACCAACAACCAAAAAATCGGTTAAGTGACAAAGACGACTCTAACGCTAGTATCTACTCCTCCGAATTTTGACACCGCGACACGTGATGACTTGGAGTTCCGATAGAAATAATGTGCATAGGTGCCACTAATCAACGACTCTACAGTGACTTCAGGACTCGAATTCACAACCCGACAGAAACAACGCTGACCTTGAGTTCGCGACCATGACCATTGGGCTACCGCGGCCAGGTTAAATGACGAAATCAACAGCTCTCATTTCCCCATCGGGCGATCGTGAGAACTTTAATATTGAGAAAGAATTAATGTATTTTTTTGAATTGTGTGAGTCTCTTTCCACTGGATTACTTTGGCTTAAACAATAAAGTAAAATGAAATCCTTTGATTAGTTACCTAATTTGATCATTATTTCGAATTAAAGTCACTGGAGTGCTGCAGGACAATTGTTACACCGTTACTATAGTAACAAAATGTATTAATTTCTCACGAATCACATTTATCATCGCATTTTTTTTTCTAAAGCCATATAATTAATGTACATTTAAGTAAAAAAATGAGTCTTTGATTAGGATAGAATGTAAAATGTGTTGCTCCATTTATGCTTGTGTGATTTAAATGAAGAGTAGGAAGAAAATGTAACAATATTTGTATTAAATTTTTATGTTTTGATTCATGAATTCATAAATATAAGTTATGTCATAATAAGATAATTAAAAATAATTTCGTATCCTTTGTACATATTGTACATGTGTAGAGAATAAATATTTATTTCATTATATTTTTAAGAATTAGATTCACATTCCTGATTCTATTTTTTTTTTCTATCTGTGAAGAGTTATAATTGTAGTAGGGGGGGGGATAATCATTTTAAACGAAGACTGCATCGGACTATTTTAAATAAATAATTTTCATTTGCATTTCTTGGACTGCAAACATCTTGGACTTTATCATACACTGTGTTTTAAATAACGTTTTAATTACGAATGTGTTTTTTTTTTATCGAATAGAATTTTAATTCTTTTATACTGAATATCACTCTATGCTCCACTTTGGAAAAAAAAAAAATTTGCATTTATCTGGAACTTATTTTAACGAAAGAAGTTTTGAAACAAAGAATATTTTCAACCGAGACTTCTAACATATAAATTTCAAAAATTTTTAAATGGCAGAGAAACGGAATTCATCAAATTCCAATAACAAATCTTTTAAATAATAATAATAATAATAAAAAAAAACTATTAAAAATAATACTCTTAAATCAAATATAAACTAGTTGAATTTCTGTCACAAACTATTTTTCGAAAAGAAACAATTCGACAAAACCATCGCTTCATCGTTCCGTTTACAACAAATCTGATGTGGAATGTTAATTACAATGTAATTCCTCTCTTTTCAGAGAATAAATTACTTACCCAATTAATCAAATAGCTTCTGTCAGAACATTTCCATTAAGCTCCCGTAAATAACAGAGAACTGACATTTCCAAACTAACAAAAAAGTTCTTTTCAAACTGAACATCTCTGAGCCGAAATCGAAGAAAAAGGTAAAACACCTTTTAATAGAAACGAAAATATAAACAAACACCTCGACGAGACCACAAACAATAAAACGGTATTAAGAATCTATCAGACGATAAAATAAAAGCGATATTTAAGAATAAAAAAAATGAGCGAGTGGCGGGAAAAAAAAGGGAATCTTCGTGTTAACTTTGGCCAAAGTCCAAAATCGCGAACGTCAATCATCGCCGGTGGGGGTGGGGCTTCGACCATGACGGCGCAATGGCAAAATCGTCCAGTGGAGCTTGTGCTGAGTTGTCGGATGGGGCACGAACGATCATAAAGTCGATAGATATGCTTGTCAAAACTTTCCTCTTTCTGCGTTGTTTCGTGTTGTTAGCCGGTGTTTTGGATGCGCTAGAGAGAGCGGTGCTCTGACTCATTCGGTCTTTCTCCGATTGTTTGATAGATGCATTTAGTTTTTTAGTTATTTCGTCTTAATTTTTTTTATTTAAATAAGAGAGATAGTTTTCGACTTTTTGGAAAGCGCTGGAACTGGACGTAGGGCTTCGAGCAACGTGCTTGTTTTTAAGCCCGCCACATGGATGACATAGAAGCTATCAAAGTAAGTTTTTTTTTCCTTCTCCTTAATTAGGAATTTAAGAGAAACAAATTTTTTTTGTGTAGTATTGTTTAGAAAGTTTAAAGTAAACAAATTTACGGAAAACTGCTTTAGTTATGGAATGTTCTAAATAAACTTCTATTCTATTTATTAATGTTATTTAGTAAAATTTTCAGTTTCGTGATTTTGTTGAATCGAAACTCATTACAATGAATAAAACAATATCGTGTTTGTTTTTGAATAGTTTAACACATGAATAATATTTAAAATAAACTAATATTGTTGCAAAAACTTTTAAATAGGTACTATTCATTAACTTCTAATAGGTGCTACAAGATAGGAAAAATATAAATTTTATAAATAGTTTTACATATTTCTTAAAAATAGGTATATAAAATTTACATTAAATGCACAGTTCAAAGTCTGTAAGCGCGTTTTTTTTTTTTTAAATCGAATTTCGAAAATTATTCTCTAAATAATTTTATTCCAATTGATTTTAAAATAACAAATATCATTTTTAATATGCTCATTTTAACATTTTTTTACTTTCGAAAAATTTTTATTTAAATTTTTATTCATTCTGTCGTGTAATGTTAAGATTGAAAATTTCACTTTTTTTTAAAAAGCAAATTTGTCAACATTGTTTTAATTAGTTTTATTTAAATAAAATTGATGTGTTAAATGAATTTAAAAATAATAATTACTATAATTTGTCACTCAAGAATGATATTTTTTCTAAAAAATTACCGTAAAGTTTAACGATCTTTGAATTACTGACAAATGTTCAGTCAGATTTGAATAAGTACGAAATTTCAGCGACTTTTTTAAATGGGAACTATCTTATGTTTTAAATTTTTTTTTTCATAGTCCGAGGTATAATTTTATAAAATACGTGCTTATCATATTATTTGAATAGCCTGCATCTTTAGTTTACCATATAAATTTTTTAAAATTAAATTCGTATGTGAGCAATGCATTATAACGTTTAGAAGTATACTCTATTAAAATTGGAAAAAATAATGCTTTTTCCCTCTTTGAATACACAAATTCCATTTTCCTTTTTAAAAAACCGCTTATCACATGTAGTTTTATATTATGAACTTAAAAAAGAATTTTAATTTAATGAACTGTAATTTTTTTTTTATTTGAAGGAAATCTAAAAGTTGTCTTGAAATATAGAACCGAAAATAACTTCCTGTAATTTTTAGAATTTAATTATTTTTTTTCATCAATAGTTTTCTTTTAATGTTTATGTAACTACCGATTCATTTTATCTATTGATTATAAAAACCGAATACTCACTTACATGTAAATAGTTTAATGTTTTATTTATTTAAGTTAGTATGTACAATTTTATTCAGAAATAAAATCTCAATCTATAATAATATTTAAAAGTTAAATTCCATTAACCCTTTGAATGTAGTTCATATGATATAAAATTATATACTAATTTTAAGCGTAATAATAGTAATATTCAAATCATGCTGAATAATATATTGTAATTGGATACATTTTTTCTTTAGGTTATTTTAAATATTTTTTAAGATACGTGTTGCTCAAAAAGATGAAAATTCACATTTTGATAAAATGAGCTTTTTAAAGTTTTCCGTACAGTAAGATTGATCAGAAGTACGAATGTGGATTTCGTATCTTTGGGAAATAATTAAATATTTTAACGAGGATTGTTTTACAGTATTCACAAAAATCTGTACTTAAATATATATATTTTTGTTTCGGAAAATCTAAATTTTTACATGGTAGGATCGTAAAATTCCTGAAGTGTTCTATCACATGTTAACACATACACACTTCTTACACTACGTTTGGGTAGTGTAAGAAGTTATAGATTCACATTAGCTTGATATTTTAGGTTTGGCTATTTTTTAAACGTCATTAATTAGCTATATTAAGTTTATGTAAAAAGTTACTGTGATTCGACATACGCAATTTGTTTTTATGAAGATTCATAGCTTTATGAAAATTAAGGTATAAAATATTAATCATAATAGTTTTACGTAATTACTTGTTACGGTGTTGTTTACCTCTGATTTGCTCTTTTGTATTGAACTGGCCGCGTTAGCCTTGTGGTCATGGTCATGGATTCGCAGTCATTTTCGTCGAGTAGTAGGTTCCGGCCTTTTGCCACAAAAGACTCACCGTATAGCGGGGCTGATGCAAGTTATATCTGGTCGAGGTCCCAATTCCTCCCATTAGCGTGGTGTGGAAGTTTAGAGAGGGAGGGGCCAGCTCGAGTGTCGTTCTCTTCACCTGAACGAGATGTAAAATCAGTCTCCAGTAGCTCTGAGTTTGACGTTAATAAGCAATCGCATTGGGCTAACTTTATTCATATCGTTATTTTTAAAATTCTATTATTACCAAAATAATAACCTTTTTACTATTCTATAATGTTATCCACATTTTTTCGAAATTTATTTTATAATTTGAATTCTGTATTTGTATATTCTTAATTTTTTACTTCACCAAAATCTCGTATATAAAAGCTAATTAAATTGATATAATTAGTATAAAAAGTATATTTAAATTAATATATTTAAATAACCTATTCACAATTTCATATACAGCACTCTCTCAATTATCCGGTAGATATCGGAGCACAGCCGGATTACCGAAAACGCTCGATTACTGGAAAATAATTAATAATAATGCTTTGTTTTGGTTTCATTAACGTC